CCTCCCCCTGCCGCAGGCCGCCAGCTCCCGCGGGAGGCCCGGGACCATCTGGAGCCGGCGGCCCCGCGGGGCTTGGGGCGGGGCCGAGTCACCCCCTCCCCGCTCGGCGCCATGGCAACCGCGGCCCCACTCAGTTGTCCCAGTCGCTCCCCGGCTTCAGGGTCGCTGACCTTCCCTGGGGCGAGCGCGACGGAGTCTCAGCGGGTGGGTCGGAACTCCCAACTCCTCACCTGTCGGTGTCCCCCAGAATCCTGCTTCCAGTCACCCCCGGACCATCTGGGTCCCTTCTACAGCTTACGGGGCTTGGTCTCTGGCAGTCTGGACTCCCCACCTTTGTCCCTATCCCAGTTTCCATCCAAGCCCTACATCTCCTGAACACGCCATCCTTCAGTTCCTAGCACTCACCACCCAGGCGGCTTCCTAAGATGCAGCCTCTGTTTGCCTTCTCAAAGTTTTCTCTTAAGGCACCTCTGGTCCATTTCCCTGGAGCATTGCTCTCAGTCACCCTTTCGCTCCACTCGGGCAGTTAAGCCAGGTTCTCAAAGCATTTCCTTGATACTTGTGGAGGAGAGGCGCTTCTTGCAAATCAGATTCTCCAAACAGTCATCACTGCAGCTTCTCAGCGCCACTCATTTATCAACCCGGAGAATTCCGGCCTAGTCACTGTCTTCTGGAGGAGTGGGGGTGGGGATGGACATTTCTAGGCCTGGCACCGCTGGGTTTCTCCGGGCTGTCTTAGCGCCTGAGTGGTCTAAGGTTTAAGATCATTAAACCCAGGGTGAACTGCTCTCTGTTTAGGAGATGCAGGGATTATACTAACAAAGTTGTGGGGTTCTACAACTGCATTGTCTATGTGGTCCCTTCTCCCCACTTCTAACTCTGGGATGTGGATACAATTTTTCCAAACCAGGAAAAGACGCTGGGAGACCCATTACAGGATGGGCTTTGTAGCTGGTAGGCTGAGGCTTAATCATTAGGTTATACAGCCCCTGACCACGTGACTCCTTTCTACCTGGAGAATATGCCTAAAATGGTCAAGTCAGGTAAACATCATGAATGAGTTTGGGATAAATTCTTGAGTTTAAGGTTTTATTGTAGCGTTGTGGGTAATAGAAGTTTAGGGTTTTGCTCCTTTCAGAAAAGGTTGTTGTTAGTGCCATTGTTAGTTTTGAGTATGTTACGACTCAAAACCCTGTATAAGGTTTCTGATGAGCAGCAAGTGGGTTTGAACTGCTGACCTTGTGGTTCAAACCGATCTTGCAATCCAGTGTTTATCCTACAGCACCACACCAGAACACATACTGAAATATGTTCTGGCAACATTGACAAGGTGAAATAACTTGTGTTAAACCCCTTTGAAAACATATTTCAAATACAAAAAAATCTTGCTATCACCACTAGTCGTGTTATCTCACTGGCTTGGCCTTGATCTTCCTAGTCTATAAAATCGGCTGAGAGAGAGTTGGGGAGTTGTTCTAAAAGATGACTTTGAAGTTCTAAAAGATGACTTTGACTCTAATAGTCTGTAATTCTACCACTAAAATGGAACAGATTTTGCCTCAGCCTCCATAGCTGCACCTCACCATTAACTACAATTTGTTGTTTATATATCAATGTAACTCTTTGAGATAAACACAATGGAATCAAAGGAATGACAGCATAAACTGAATGTGTATGTCTGTAGGTTCATGGGGAAGGAGGCACCAAGACAGCATGATGGTTACCTAAGAGACGTGGTCAGGGGCATGAAAACTGATGGGATGATGGGAATCAGCTGATCTGCCAAAGGAACTTAAACTGCCATCCTGCTGTTGCTCTACTGACTACGGGAACTGTGGGCCTCAACTGCAGCCTGGTAGATTGTCACCCAATTAGCACACAAGATTAGGTCTCCTATGAGTCAAACGCATTGCATAGAACCAAGTAGACATACCCCATAGGATTTCCAGCACTGTTATTTTTATGAGTCTTTCCCCAAACCTGATGTCATGTTCTTCATATAGTCCAATTTCTCAGATTATTTGCTCAGCATACAGACTGAATAAGTATGGTGAAAGAATACAACCTTGGCACACATCTTTCTTAATTTTAAACCATCCAGTGTCCCCTTGTTCTATCCAAACAACTGCCTCTTGGTCTATGTACAGGTTCCTCATGAGCACAATTAAGTGTGCTGGGACACTCATTCTTCACAGTGCTGTCCATAGCTTGTCACGATCCATAAAACTGAAAGCCTTTGCATAGTCAATAAAGCACAGGTAAACATCTTTCAGATATTCTCGGCTTTCAGCCAAGATCCATCTGACGTCAGTAATGATGTCTCTTGTTTCACATCCTCATCTGCATCTTGTTTGAACCTCTGGCAATTCCCTGTCAGTGTACTGTTGCAGCCATTTAAAAATGATCTTTAGCAAAATTTTACTTGCATATGATATTAATGATATTGTCTGATGATGACTTCATAGCATCTAACAACAACAACAATATTTACAAAGAAGCATGGTGGTTTTGTTGGACAAGCATTTGAGAACCACAAGGTCATTGGTTTGAGCCCACCAGCCGCTCTGAGGGAGAACGATGAGACTTTCTGCTTCAGCAAAGATTTACAGCCTCAGAAACCCTATACAGGGTCACTATGAGTCAGAACTGACTTGACGCCACTTATCAACAGTAACCAGTGTTTATGAAAGCGGACGGCCACATCTTTTTCTCTTGGAGTGGCTGGTAGATTTGAACCACTGACCTTTTGGTTAGCAGCCTAATGCTTTAACCACAGCCCCATCAGAGCTCCCCTCCTATTAGTAGCATAATAATAATATCTTTTGAATAGTGATTTTCCGTTTCCAACATTTTAGGATGCTTTCAAAAGTCCTTTGAGGTATCATTATCATTCCCATCTTCTTGGTGAACAATGCAATGTTAGGAAACCTAAGCGAATGCCCAAGTTCACAAAGTAGTTCATGGTAGAGACTCCAGGTCTTCTACTAGAGAAAAAGGAGCTCTGGTAGCATAGTGCTTCAGCTGCTAACCAAAAGATTGGCAGTTCGAATCCACCAGCTACTCCATGGAAGAAAGCCTTGGCAGTCTGCTTCCACAAACGTTTACAACCTTGGAAACACTCTGGGCAGTCCTACTTTGCCCTTTGGGCCTACTATCAGTTGGAATAAAGTCAATGGCAAGGGATTTGTTTTTTGTGTGACACTATAGGATAAAGCGAGTCCTGGTGTGGCGCTGTGGGTTTATGTGCCAGACTGCAAAGCCGTTTGAACTGCAAGGTTGGCAGGTCAAGCTCACCAGCTGCTCCTTAGAAATCCTCCCTGTACAGGGTCGCTATGGGTCGGAACCGACTCGACGGCACTTAACAACAACAACATAGGATAAAGCAAGGAGCTCTGGTAGCGTAGTGGTTACGAATCGGGCTGTGAACCTCAAGGTCAGCAGTTCTAAACCACCAGCTGTTCTGCGGGAGAAAGATGAGGCTTTCTGCTCCTGTAAAGATTTATAGCCTTGGAAACCCTGTACAGTGTCGTGATGAGTGAGAACCGACTCCATGGCACATAACAACAACAACAACAACAACAATCAGATAAAGCATTGGATCGCAATGTTGGTTTGAACCTCGGGTTCAAACCACCAGCTGAGTAAGGGGGTTCAAACTCAACCATCTGCTCCTCAGAAACCCTATACAGGGTTGCTGTGAGTCAGAACTGACTAGCAATGGCAGACTAATTAAAAGCATGGATTCTGGGGCCAGATCTCTTCAGTTTAAAACCTGACTTTGCCACCTACTAGCTGCCCGAGCTTCAGTCTTCTCAGTAAAAAGGTATCACAAGGTGGGGATCAAATGAGTGATTATTGCAGGCGAAGTACTAGAACAGTGCCTGGCACCTAGTAAGCACACAACTAGTGTCAGCCATTATTATTTTGCCACTGTTTCTCAATTTGGAGAGGAAGCATGTTCAGTAGAGAGAACATTCAGCTCTTGTCTCAGCTCTCTCACTGAGTTGCTTTGGAAACTTGTTATTTTGCTCTATAGTGCGTCAGTGTAATCAATGATGAAGAGCACGCCTGCTTTCTTTTTACTTGCGTTGCAAACTGAATGGAATGATGTCCGTGAAGTACGCTGAGCTTCTCGGAGAATCCAGATTTGCTACTTACATGATCAAGATGCGTGGCAAGTCTTAATAGGACTTCCTGCCAACAAACGAATGCATTCTCATTCCTGTACCATGGAAGAGATATCTAATCCTTTCCTGTTGCCTCCTGGCCCTCACTCCTTCAGGCTGTTCCTTCCCATCAGCATTTAAACATTCTCAAGTATCTGCTTGTGTAACAAAATAAGAGAAAACTCTTATCAGCACTGAGCCCCCTCTATGGTGTTGTTAAGTGCTGTTGAGTCAACCCCCTCCAGGTATTGCCCTTTATTCTGTGTTTATTGTCTTCTTGAATCTTTTATACTCACTATCTACATCTTCGACTCCCAGTCAATCAAACATTCAATCAAAAAAATATTTGCTATCCCTATCCTAGCTGGTGTGGTGCTGTGGGTTAATGCGCCAGACCTGTTTGAACTGCAAGGTCAGCACTTAAGCTCACCAGCTGCTCCTCGGAAACCCTATGCAGGGTCGCTATGGGTCGGAACCAACTCGACAGCACTTAACAACAACAACAACAATCCTAGCCAAAGAAGCTCTAGTAGTGTAGTGATTATGAATCAGACTGTTAACCTCAAGGTCAGCAGTTCAAAACTACCAGCCATTCTGCAGGAGGAAGATGAGGCTTTCTGCTCCCATAAAGATTTATAGCCTTGGAAACCCTATGCAGGGTCGCTATGAGTTGGAACCGACTCCACGGCACACTACCACCACCACCATCCTAGCCAAGCACTGTGCTAGGATATGAGGGTATAATGATGAGTAAAATGAACACTGTCTCTATCTACTCATTATTATTGGGTTGGTTCAGACTCACTGTGAATTTGTGTAAAATAACAGAATGAAAGGTTGCCCACTCCTGCAACATCCTCATGAACAATGAAGCCCATTCTTGAGACTGTTGTGTCAATCTGTCTCTTTAAGGGTTTTCTTCATTTTTGCTGATCCTCTACTGTACCAAACATGACATCCTTTTCTAGCAATTAGTCCTTCCTGATAGCCAGACCAAAGTAAGCAAAACAAATTCCTGTCATCTTCTTTTCTATGGAG